TGATATTAATTCTGCAAGTTTTGATAGAGGAACACAAACATCCTACACAAAGAGAAAGAAAATTTTGGTAAAGATGCTTCTACTAACCTCCGGAAATTGAGCAATGGCAATTCAATGATTTTAAAAGATCATATTGAGATTAATTTTCCATCTATTTAGTTCAACTTACAGAAATCATTGCTTCAAAATTAGGTTCCATTGCAAAGCATGCCCATAGCGCTTCCTTCCTGATCTGCAAGGAACCAAATATATTACACAAGATAAGAGTAAATAGCATAGATATATTTAGATGAAGGCTATGACCCAATACCTTATTTAGAAGCATGAAATTAATAAATATACAGAAAGAATTGTCCGAATGCATATATGTTGGAGGTGATTTAAGTCAGTAAAAGCAAGTTCCGACTTATTGAACATAACAAGATAATTCAGTCCTGCTTCAATGTTTCAGGATTGATACAGGGTTGGAAAGCTAAAAATTAACACAGAGTGCCAACACATTCTGATTTGAGGTTTCCTAAGGTCTTCAATATGCAACAACCTATCTTACATGCTTCAATATATCATGGGCTGGGCAAGGAAGCCAAGCTGGGGCATTCTATGTCAAATAATTGCATCAATAGCTTTAAACTAGCTTCATAGCTTTCCACTCACTAGCAAATTCAATCCGAAAATAACAATCCCCCACCCACCCCAAAACCCCTTTTCCCACCTTTCCATTTCTACCTTTCATGAGCAAGTATAATATTATCCTTGGCATGCATTATTGCATCTGTATCTTGTCTTTCCCACTGACATCAAACTAAACCCGCTTGTCCATAGAGACAAACTGCATAATTAATTTCCTTCTAATAAAATCCATATTATGATCAGGACAATGGTAGAACTGAAACAGCATGGTCACTTAACCATCTTAGGTGTAGTCAACCCACCTAAGTAAAATGATCACGGCTTGTGGTGAAGTGTTTGTGAAGTACACTGAGTTATTACAAACTAAATCAGGCCATGTCTCTACTTTCAATATCATTCTTGGCTTTTCTATTCAATATATACCTAAATGTGATACTCAGGCACTCACTTAACCAAAGTCAAATGTATCAGTCATTGGTTCCTCGCAGAAAGAAGTCCTTCATACTTCTTTCTAATCTTTGAAATGCCCTCCACACGTGGTTTTGTCAAATGGCATGGTAATGACCAAAATGTTAGCCAAAAATAGTGTCACTTCTACTCATTTTTAAATAAAACCCATAAGTTCTTGAACCATGCTTAATCATGATACTGACTTGTAAATTTGGAGGATTTTACCAGAGATTCAAAATATTATCATAAAAGGAATTACTGATAAAGATGTTGTAAGATGACAACCAAGTTTTAACACATAACTGAATACAAAATCAAAAATCATCTTCACTAAATATAACAAAAATGAAGGAGATGATAAGCCTTCAAAAGGAAAATAGACTTTGCAAAACAAGTTATCAGCCAAAAACACACAACTAAAGTCCCAACCACTCTGCAGGAATTAAGTTATGTTACCTTCCAAAGTTCCTTTTTAACTTGGGGATCTTCCGCAAAAACAAAATCTGAGCCATTGTGCTCAGAAACAATTCTTTGAACAATTTGTGTTTGCTCACGGGAGTATGCCTCTAACAAACAGTAATAAACAGATTAGGATCCATCACAAGTGAAAGTAAAAACCTTAAATATGACAACCAGATTAAGGCAGGGTGACTCAGGCTTTGGCTCAAAAATCTTGCCAAATCAGAAGTGCATTTGCTCCTTTAGCTTCTGTTTCTTTTATATTTCTTGCTTTATGACAAATAATCATGGATGTACTAAGGTCCTTAGACAAACAAAATATAAGGATCATCACTTAAGAAACCATCCAGTTTCAGATAATTAAGACTAGAACACCATGTCAGAATAGGACACAAAATGCCAAATTCCTTGTCAATTTGTTTGTAGGAAAAAGTTCAAATGAACTAGTAAGGCTAAACCTTTCTATGCAAAGTAGCAGAGATTCAAAAGGAGAAAAGGGAGAAATCCTGCCACTCACCAGTGCCTATAAATTCAAACATCAGAGTTGGAACTTCAGGCAAATTCTTCCCATTAGCAATATTGACAGCCCTTACTTGGACCTCATCCAATAATTCTACCCTCGACACCTAAAGAATATGAAAGAAAATCTGATAAATAATTTGAATAAAAGCAAAAAAATTAAAAATATAACCCTACCTGTATACCAGACAACATGGTGGCAATAGCAACATCTGCTGCATCCTTGATTGTAGGGAAGTTGCACATTGCAACCTGTAGTATTATCAAATCAATCAACAAAAGCATAAATATTAAGATCTCACATACGATATTAGAAAAAGTAACCAAAAAAAAGGAAACTATAATAGTATAAATACAAGAGCAAGAGTCAATTGATTGTCAAAGACAATTCCAGTTGAGAATTATTAGTAAGAGGAGCAGATTGAGAGAGGTTGCACTCCTCAAGAAATTCAAAATGTGCTTGTCACCGATTTAGCAAATTCACTTAAATAATTATCAAAAGAAGAACTTGGAGAGAATTATTAGTAAGAGAAGCAGATTGAGAGAGGTTGCAGTCCTCAAGATATTCAAATTGTGCTTGTCATTGATTTAGCAAATTCACTGACATAATTATCAAAAGAAGAACTTGGAGCTAATAACTCTTTCTCTATTTTCTGAAATATGTGAAGAAACCGCCAGTTGAAGTAAATGACAAGTACAAAATGAGAAAACCACTCCTTTGAGAACTAGTTATTTCGAAGCTATCACTTTATTCTGTGAGGAAAGAAGGAAAGAAAGGGGAGGCGAGAAAAGATGTGTTTATGACAATGAAGAATGCCAACTCAATGAAAATGGAACCAATCATTCTGCAACAGCCAATATTTACAAATAATTTGACGGAGAAAATGCAATATTAAACATGACTCATCTACCCAAACAGTATTGACCAATCCCCCCAATAAAGAAACAGATCTTACTCTCTTGTGAAAGAATAAAGTTATAACTGAACAACAATGAACCAAAGGGATTGATTCCAATTTCAAATCTTTCAACTTTACTTAAGAATTTTGACACATAATGTTGTTGGAAAAAATCACAAGAAAGAAGAAACAATGTGGAATCTGAATTCTAATTGCAAACATGAATTCAAAAAGCAAACTAAGAGTACCGTGTCTCATTAAAGACGAAAGACAGATAAATGGTTTCTCATTAATTGGGTAAGCACTCAATACTTGTGACATCCAGAAATCAAAGAACATTTTTCATAACACTAAAAAAATTTTCATTAGATTTTTTGTTCAGACATTCTTGCTCATTCTCAAATTTTCCAGCTTTTGTTTAAATTCAAAATTTTCACCAGCTCTTTCTAGCATTGTTGTATTCCTAATCATTTTGCTAATATAATGGAAATCATAAGTAAGAGATAGTGACTCACAAGTCAAGCTGGTGGAATATTGTTAGCTTGGATAGTTAAAGATTATGTTCTTTTGAAGCCAAGGACCAAATTCTTGAGTTCTTCTAACGTATACGAAGTCATTTTTTATTCAAGTTTTGCCAGTACTTACCAAATCATTGCTCCAATAGTTCATTAATGTAAGAGGGTTTCATTGTCCAAAGCATATTTTTGATTGGTTTCTAGTTTGCTGGAATTCGATGCATATTTTTGGTTGTTTTCTAGTTTGCTGGAATGAGCCTTAATTAAGGTTCATTGGATCTTATCTTGGATCTATTTCATTCCTAGGATGTTTTCTATGGGCTTTAGTTTATTTCAGTTGGGTTATTTTCCTGAATCTAATAATTTTTTTGTTCATTTGTTCCTGCATCTTTGTGTTTTAAGACTTGAAAAAGTTGAATTTAAGAATTTGAATGGATGATAAATTCTTGGAGATTTCAGGTTTGAAGGATAGGCTATTTTCTCTCTTTTTTCTGCTTGCTTGCATTTCTAACTCTTATGCATCTATAGTAACTCTGCAGTTCATAATAAACTAGTTCCACGAAACTTGATTTCTTCCTTATTGAAGCCAATGTCAAACTAGCTTTCTTAAACTCTCCAACCTTAAATCCTCCACGTATTTTGCGATCAACTACGATGAATTCAACTATCCAAATATTTCATCAAAACCTAATCTTGCTGCTATAAGTTTCCTGCACCATCCTTTCTCAGTTTCCAACCATTCCTTTGTAATCAGATTCAACTAAATCATATCTTTCCAAAAAAAAAAAAAAAAACCACCACTAACAACAAAAACAATTAAATTGAACTTTAATTCTCTCATAATCATTATTTTAAGCAGATTACTCCAATGAATCTTATGTGATAAGCATCTATGGACAAACTAAATGGTTCACTCACAGAACAAACTTTACATGGCAAAGATTAGAGTTGAACAGAGTCAATGAGAAAATAGACGTGCCAAATCATTGTATATTTTATATCCCATTATTCAAAGGAAACAAGTTTAACTCACAAAAGAAATGCCTTCAAGCCAAGAAAGATCAATTTACCACTGAATGCTCTGGAATTTTCTGAAGCCTTAGAGTGACCTCTGTTATCACACCCAGGGTTCCCTCACTTCCAATCATCAAGCGAGTCAAATCATACCTAAGATATGCAAATCCAACGAGAATAACAGTATACAAAAATTGAAAATAAATAAATATGGATAGACATACATATTCTTTACAGCAGGAAAAAAGGAAAAGACATTCAGAAGAAATTGCTGATAAAGTAATCGTTTGCATGTAAAATTACCATATCACACTAGCCATCCCTAAAGCAGTAAAAACTTGGACTAAAAATGGGGAGTTTTTACTGAACAAATGAAGAATAAGACTTTAAAAGCATAAAAAAGTTCAAGAATGCAAGAAAAAAGAAAAGAATGACCACACGTGATTAAAGCCACATGACCATACTTGAGAAGCAAATTAAACTTATTGCTGATAAGACCTAGCCTAGCTTCAACTGAAAGTTAGTGTATATTTCTCTTTCACTCAAACTCGTAAACAACTTCATCAAACAGAAAATGGTAGATTCCCTAAAAGACATGTAAGAACGCAAATGGGATGACCATGCTACATATATAATTCAGGACCAGGGGTTCGGGGATAGGGAACAAATAGAAAGTATTGATTGAAGGACATAGGAGAACAGACCCAGCAGCGCTCTTTCGAGCACGAGAAGCCGTCTTGACAATATCTCCATTGGCAAGGACTACCTGGGATGTACAAAGTGTAAGAAATAACTCACTCATTAACAAGTTAATCCGTCAAGAGAGTAATTAACAAACCTTGAGACTGATGACATTGTCACGCATTGTGCCATACCTACATGCTAAAAGCAAAATCATTAAATCCAATAAACAAAGAAAACCATTTAAAAATTATATACATTTAACAAAGTGATAAGAGCAACTGATTAATCGTCCGCTTGACACAAAATTTAATGATTTTTTTTTTATGTTGATAAAGCACTAGTGTTAATGATTGTTTCTTCAAGAAGAAAACAATAAAGCAGAAGAAATATTACAACCAACAATCTGGATGTAGCCATCCTTTTACCAACATAAGCATAAATAAAGAGTATTTTTACCCATGTTAGAGAAGCATTCTTGATTGCAGCATCTTGAAATCATAGGAATAGACAAATCAAGGGACTAAAATCTTTAAGAAGTAAAATCCTTTGTTCAACAATCCCCTAGTTACTTTAGAATAAGAAATCTCAAAGAGTTAATATTTTAAATCTCAGTATTTTCGTGTTATTAACCAATCCCATCAAAGGATCACATTAGGAAAGATTAATCAATTGCTAGTGTGGTGTTCAATTCTGAAAGATGATAATTAAGAAAAAGCCTTCCTTGATGGTTCTTAAGATAAATGAGGTAGTATTCTGTGATGCTGGGTCCCTGCAGAATGGTATAATCAAGATGTTATTCAACATTGATCTTCCAACCTAGCAAGGCATCAGCACTAATGCTGCGAGCCAAAAGGTGGAGGCGATAATAGCCAGAGGCAATTTAGATGACTGGAATGGGCTGGAAAATAATGAAATTTCTTCCGGAAACAGATGGAATCCAACCTATCCAGCCAAGACACAGTATCAATATTGTATACAATGCACAGGCATGCATTTTACAATGCAGTATCATAAATCTGCAATCTTAAACAGTTTCCCCCAAAGTAAGGAAAAGTTTAAACCACTGCTATTCTGCTGAGAAGGATCAGTAATATCACTAGCTGATTCCTCACTATGTGGCTTGCAAACATTTGCTGATTTTCTTGATCAAAAACCACACAAAGGCCTACAAGAAAATATTCTAACATGTGCTGAACCCATAATGGGACCAACAAGTACATGCACTACATAGGCATTGAAGATGTATGTGTCTAAATTAAGAAAATTTTTGGTAAGGAATCAAAGCATGGTAATTCTTTCAGAAGCCTGAACACAATCCTGAAGCCAGTTAAAAACCTTTTGTCTAGGGCAGTCTCCATCTACATTCGCAACAGAGATATAGATGATCCAGGAGAAATAACACCAATATTGCATATCTGAATAAACTTGCTTGACACGCTAAATTGCTTAAATGAAAACTACAGAAAACTAGAGAAGGCAAAGAAAGAGAGGATGCATCAAGTAACTAATAGATATAGAAAAGATAACCTTTTGTTTTGCTATCAGGGAGTGGATTTACACGTAGCAAAGTATAAATACAGTAGCTGAGATAACAATCAGTTGAAGCATAGTGACTACCTCACAGCTAAAGATCCAGAGCAACGTGTTGCACACATTCCTCCTATTGTTGCACCAGGCCCTGCAGGTCAACATGTTTTAAGGTGATAACATCACACCCAAGCCAACAAATAATTGATAAATAATGTGCTATTAGCAAGTGGAGCAAAAAAGTGTTATAAGTTATTTTTACATTAGAAAAAAATGCGGCAAGAATTTCTTATAGCAATCTGACCTGGATCAAGAGGAAAGAATAGACCATAAGGCTCCAAGTATTCATTAAGTTCCATCCATCCAATTCCAGGCTCAACGATAACATCCATGTCCTCAATATGTAAGGCTTTAACTCTCTGTGAATTCAAACAATAACAGCTATAACTATCACCGCAACTTCAAAAATGAAAACAAAAGAAGATTTCCATATTAATGTATATTTCATCAATTTATAAGATAAGCAACAGTACTGATTTCTGCCATAAAATGAATTGCACATTCAATTGAAATATTTGCCAAAAGAATGTAATTTACAAATTGAATTATATAAACAATGTCCAGAATGAGCACTATAATCACATGATGTTAATAAACCCCATGACACAGAACAAGCCTCAGTTAGATGCTTCCACTACCAGCCTAAGTATACAGCACACTAAATAGAATAAGAAGCACAATTAACAGTATCGCAAAACCACATAATACAGAATCAAAAAGAGATTATTTCAATCTTTATGTTTTGAATTTAACCAGAAAAAGAGATTATTTATACCTTCATTAAGGTCATGTCAATGCAAACACCTCCATTAGGAGACAAAGTGTGCCCCTCAATGGATGTAGCTCCACCATATGGTACTATAGGAACCTGAATACAACATAAACAAACAATTAAAATTTTATACTTGCTCAAGAACAGCCAAGACTTTTATATTATACCCTGGCAAAGTTTATAAACTATATAATAAAATGTGTATCACTTGTATCACCTGGTTTTGATTTTAAGATTTAGTAAGAGACATTGTAGTCATAAACCAAAATCATACTATGCACAAGCACCAAATTTTATATCACGAACCATTCAACTCTAAAGAGGATACCAAATATTTAATGGCAAATGTTCCAAATTAAAAGATCTACTTAAAACAGAAAAAGGAACAGTAGTGCATCTTTTATAAGCTTACAGACAAATGAAGAAACAGACCTTATATTTGTCACAAGACATGACAATCTGGGAAACTTCCTCCTCAGACCTGTGCATACGAATTGTGAATTGATGTTGACAGAAAAGAAATGCAGATAAAGATATATGGTGAGCTGTTCTCTAACTTCCTTGGGAGTCCCAAGTCTCATGCACTTCACCATTTGTATAAAAAGCAATGGGAAATGCAATTCATTTATTCAAATTAAAAGGTTGCATGTTAGAATGATATGAGAAAATTTCTTACCAAATATATCTGAGCAAAACACCTGTTTCTGGAATTAGAGAAATAACTTGTTACAGCTAAAATCCTATTATAAAATCAAATGATTACCTATTCAAATGGTTCTTCTTAAAACGCTACCAGCAGAAGACCTATAAAAGAACCAAAAATCTAATTTTGCTACACGCTCAACATACTCTGAGTAGCACCACAAAATGAAAACATTGGACTCGAATGTGGCATGCACTAGATGTCAGATATACAATCAGAAGAGTTCTTAACAAAAGAACCACAAAGCAAAGCCCACCCCAATTTGGGTTTGTAAAGGCTATTCTTACATAATAGTGCACACATACATAGTTAAACATGCCTTTGAAGAAAAGAAGGAGCACGCCAAAGACTTTATCAAAGATGTCTAAAGTCTAAAATATGCCAATTTCTTCAGGTGTTTCTTAAACATTCTAAGAATTGTTTCACTAATCACTTCTAACACTCTTATATAGTTCAGAAATCTATTATAAAAATGCTGTGACGTTCCAAGTACATCCACCTTAATTAACAACTACTAGCACAATTATTATGCCTATCTCCACTTCTGCGCCTACAACAAATAAACTGGACTTTCAAACCCATGAAAATTAATTAGCAGGAGTACTATGTGTAATCATCTATTTTATTTTTAATACTTGGTTTGAATAGAATTATAGTGTTCATAAGGAAAAGCAAACTAACCTTTTGCTTTAGCCACTCACTTTTTGATGTTTTTGGACATAAAAAAATTATATTTGAAGAATTAAAAATTAAAGTACTTGACTTCTATGAATAAGAAAACCCCAATTTTACCTCTATATAGAAAGTTTTTAACCAAATACGCTCTTGCTTTTATTTATGCTTTTTTTTTTACTTTATAAGAAAGAATGAAAATGTAAAAGAACAAATAGTAGACGCTTTCACATCTAAGTAAGGAATAATAATTATTAAACCACTCCAAAAGCTTGAGCAAAAAAAATTATGATAAGATTTTGAACCTTGAAGATCAAGAATCAGTCTCACCTGGGGAAAACAACCACATCAGGAATATTCACAGCTTCGTGGAAGCTGTTCTGTGGCTTTCCATGGTAGAATCTTTCATCATAATCCAAAGTCAAATTATCCTGTACAATGTCAAAATTTTACTCATTTCACCAATTATTCCTAAAACTTGCAGTGAATCAAAACTTTTAAGCACCCAAAAATAAATTAAAAGAAGGTAAATACTTGGCAGATAGCCATCAATTCATCAACAAGCTCTTGTGGAACATCTTTGTGAATGCCCTTCACCACAAACTCTGTGCTTGCCTTCCCTCCAATGCTCACTTTCCTGAAAATCACATCATATCCAATAAAAAATAAAAGAAAAGTTCAAAATTTGTAATCCAACAACAGTTGAAAATCACATCTTATTCAATTAAAAATGACAAGTAAAACCAAAAAATTATTTATAAAAAATTAAACAGACCGAGAATCGATGTTGGTGGGTTCACATAGAGAAGGCTGAGTGTTCTGGGATTGAAAAGCGAGGGACCCAGCTGAAACCGCGAGAGCCAAAGGAAGCAAAGAGCTTGACCATGAAAAAAACTGGGTTTTGGGTTTTTCAGCTGTGGTGGATGGCACGCTCTTTTGAGAACCACTGAACTGAAATTTGTCAAGGTAAGAAGAATGACGGGAACCATTGGGGACCGCAGATTTCTTCGAACAAGAAAGCAAACGCAAACGAGCCAGCCAAAAGGAGAAGCCCATGATCACAAGCTGGAAGTCGATTAGAGTCCAAGGAAGTAAGAAGTACGACCCTTTTAACGTTGCGCAGTCCTTTACTCCTGTTGGTTGCCTTTTTAAGTGTAAGATACATGCTTTGAAAGAAAGTATTACGTCATTTCTTTCTCCTTTTAATAAATATTTTCATTTAATCTATTAATCTCAATTAAGGCATTGATAATTGAAATTGAATAGCTGTCAAACTACAACAAAAAGGAAAAAATCTTTGTTATTTCTTGTTATCAGTTCAACTATGAATCAATGGACCCATCACTCAAGAGGTCCAAGGACAAAAAATGCTTAACTACAGCCGAGAGATAGATACAATACTCTCACTGCTCTCTTAGTCAAAAGTCTAGAGCATTTAAATGAAATAGCCACAACTACAGGGCAACCAATTGCCAAGCCTCTCTCCCTTGCTTGATTGATGCAAAGCTCTACATTCGTTAAACTCATCAATGGCTTCATCTTGAGAAGGACTGAAGGAGATCCACTAGTTCATTAACTAATAGCCAATCACATATTTGGTTTGCAATTCCCAGTACTCCTTGGACTGCTTTACCATCTCCGCACGTTCAGCTATGAGCCTCTCCTTCCAATAATCTTTGTGCCTGGTGCAGATTTGCAGTGAATTTCACATAAAGAAATAAAGGGTTATGGGAATTGGTCTGAAATCCGTATAGGAGAGACATATATGATGGTAGTGTCGTAAATAATGAAAGAATTTGTGCGTCTGATTTGAACTTTGGACCACCATGTTTTCGGTTTTTTCTTATTAATTTATCAAGAAAGTAATTAGAGTTTTCACTTTCATTCACCTTCTTTTAATTAGCAGATCTAGCTCCAGCATGTGCACCGCGTTAGCATACACTCCAGCCTGCAGATGAGAGGACAAAAACAAAAGATTAATAAGAGAAAACATTGAGAGTCCGGCCTTTGCAACATTATAAGTAACACAAGTAACAAGTTGACACTCTGAAATGGGAAAATTTCTGAAATAGCTTTGAAACCAACACCGCCATTTGAGTAAGTTTCTGATTCTCTTTCTTTTTCTTTAGGGGAAGAGGGGTTCTCGGTCTTCATCCAAAATCAAGAAACAATATCAGCAAGGCAGCAGAAACAGTTAAAGAAAGAAGGCGTGCAATGAGCCACCCTTTCCTCCCCAAGATTCCGATTACCAAACAAAGAAAGCATGCAATGAAGCACCATCAATGGTTACTACTTGAAGATGGCAGTTACAGCTTTGTTCCCCGAAGCAGATTCTTAGACATATGGGTGGAGATATAGCAAATAAAACATTGAACTCATCAAGTGGTAAGTATCTTATTATCTGCTCTTGTCAAATTAAGGGAACTCATGTTCCTATTAACTGCTATGAATGTAGACAATTGAAATCACAAAATATATTAAGAGAAAGGTTCTTGGATAATTAAAAAAAAAAAAAAAGAGAGTAAGATTCTTGGAAGTGTGGCAAACAGGCAATGAGAAAATAATTGCATCACTTAAGATAACAGAAAAGGGATGCCTTTCCAAAAGGAAGATGAGAGTTAGGTGGATCATTCCCTAATATTTTTTATCACATAAGGATGCAAATCCTTAGCCTAATTAACTACTGGAATGATAAGGAAACATAGTGCAAATTTCACATGGAAAAAGATTGAATACTAAAGAAGAAGCTGAATGTGTTCATAAAACAGTAAACCAAAGAGTTCAAAGCTATAGAATCAAAACCTCTCTACAAATTGGACACTTCGAATCTGGGCTTGTGGCTTTAAGTCCTTGAAAGATCATCACAGTAGCAGCAGAGCAAGCACATGACTTGCAGAAAAGATGACCGCAACTCAATGCATATGGATTAAAAACAATTTCCTGTGAGATAAGGACCAAAAGATATGAGAATACATGATATGTTTCCTTGGACTGTACCTAAGTTAAGAGCTTACCAAGCAAATAGCACATGTTAGATCGTATTCTAGCTTTATTGAATTTGGAAGCATCATTGTCATCACAGGTTCTGTTGCACTAAGGTCGCAAACAAAAGAACCAGAAAACTGAACGAAATCTCCGCCATCTGATCCATTAAAATTCAAGTAAAAAGCTCCCAATTCTATCAGCCAAGGTGATTGCAAAAGCTCTAGATGTTCAGCCCTCATCTTGGATTTGAAATTTTTGCCATTTACAGAGCTATGTACCTAGAAGTGGAACATTAATTAATCACCTAAGTATCCTGTTCTAATACAAGGTGATTGAAAGAGTATCAGCAATGATGGAGAAAAAAACAAAAAGAATTGCTGCATACTTTATCATACTTCTTCAAGATTTTACCAATAGCAATTGCATTCATTGTAATATATTCTATTAGCATCTGCCCTTCTTGTACCAATGCTTGATGGTCATTTTTAAAACATTGCCGTAACCGCAATACATATCTCTGCATTCCAGTGGCAACATGAAGATGGAGGAGATGTCTGACTCTGGAACTAAAGCATCCAGCAATATCCATAGCTTCTCTCATCAACTCAGTAAAGAACATCTGATCACACACTAAAAAATGCACAAAGCTCATTATTGGATGCTAGAACTAAGTACCATGAACTTTACATCAGCAACAGGAGCTCTATTATCAATTAGGGTGCATCAGAATAATAGGAAAACAAAGATTTTGCCCGCAAAAGCTATGCCAGAAAATTTACAAATAGGCCTTTTAAGGCTGTAAGTTATTTTCAGGCAAAGGAAGAACCAAAAACCTCAAAATTGGAAATTCTTAAACACTACCTTATAGGACAAGACAACACAGTGTTCCACTTCTTTCTTGTTCTAAAAATCCTTGTAAGTGGGAGTGTGAACCAAAAGTCATTTCCTCTATTGTTTAATTACCCTTCACAAAGTTTAAAATCTGGATGAAAACTGAAAATGGGGAGCCAACAAATAATTTAAAAAATTAAAGCTTTAAGGAGGCAGGAAATATAAGCAGGATGCTATGCCTCTGGTATAAAATTTTTAAATTTCAATCAAAACCAATATTCCATTATCCTATCTTTTTCTCTAAATGGGAATTTTGAAATCTATATACTAATAGATAAATAAAACCAGACAATGGTTGGAAAAAATATAATCTTTTCCCATCATTCCATCCTAGATTTTGACAGTTCAGTGTAATCAAATTGATTAATACCAACTAACATGATACACCAGGGGTGGAATAAGATAATATAGAAAATTCAGTTCTAAAAATGAGATGGAAAAATGGAACTCACCTGGGCAAGATTGGCATTGACAAAACTGAGACAATGTGGGATTCTCCTCCTCGTCTCTTCGTTCAGTTTTATTGTTAGAGTCAGGTAATGCTTTACAGGTTCTGCAGCTTTTTAGCACTTTCTTAAGCCTTTTATACTCAACATGAGAAAACTTATCCAAAAACCACTCCTGATCCCCATGCAGATACTCTTTAAAAGTCTCTCCAAACTTCATCTTCCCAATATATCAATCAAACTTAAATCACAAACCCAGAAATCCAATGAAAATTTAATATCTCTTCTTCAAAAAAAAAATTATAAAAAACAAAAACCCCTTGATCTGACAACCAGATATCAAAAATAAAAACAAGCCAATACTTTGAGAATAAAAGTTAATTCTTTGCCTCCAACATCAAGCAGAACAGGGTCAATACAGTCCTGGCCCAAACGACAAAACAGGATGAGGGTTTTAATTACAAAACAAGAGAGTGAAAGAGAAAATCGAGCTTTTGTTTTGTTTTGTTTTGTTTTGTATACTTCTTGAATGCCAAGGTGGCCGTTGTATGGTGGAGAACATATACGCTTTAAAAAGTTTGGTGCTGTTTGGTTTCGTAAAGCAACTTGAAAGACTCCAACAACGAACGGTCGAGCACATCGCGCGATCTGCTCCGGATTTACATTGGCGGACAATTGGCCCCCATCCAATCAGCACGTGTACAACCATCTGCCCTAGGCTCAACGCTCAAGCCCCTACTCCTTCCCTCTCGGGTCAAATAACATATGTGTTTGAGACTCTAAAGAGCTAGTATTATTGCTCTTTCTTGGCCTAGACTCTAGAGTGAATCTGACCCATTATTAAATACAAATATTGCTTAATTAAGATGCATAGATGTACTGTTTAAAGTTAAAATAGATAATATAGAATCTCAACCTGGGCATACTTATCCATTCGATCATCATGCCAACTGGATTGCTTAAAATTATGAAAGCTACCAGTCCAAACAGTTTTCTTTATACACAAGAAAGGTTGCAATTACAACTTGGTATGTAAAAGACAAAAGACAAGTTTGACCAAAATCCTGTATACACTTTGAGCAAAAATTGCTTGAATTACACCCATAATATGTTATGCAGCAGGGGGATGATCATGGAGCCAAGCCAGATTCACCATGCTGCTCAAGCTTGACTTTAATATGGAAATTGATGGGGAATTGGAGAACTATACGTCCAATATAATTCCAGAGAGAGACTTTTTCGGAAAAACGACAAGGGCACATCTGACATGTGATCTTTGCTTGTTCATTAGCTGTTTGGTGGTAGTGGTGGCAGTTGTCGTCATCATTCAATGGAAGTGCTTCTTTTGGTTAGTGGGGAGAGAAAGTCGTTGGACTTCCCCAAGTTAACGACAGTATCAGTATCACCTTTCAAAAAAAAAACCAGCATCGGTATCTTTTCACTATGTGTATAGGATAATAATGCAATGAACAATATCATTTATATAGCCAAGATGGTCAATATAGGCTTATAATATGAGCCCTCATTATGACTAGAGATGAAGTGGCCACACCAACCATTTTTGCCTACTAGGCCAACAACCAGCAAATACTTTTAAAGATACCTTTTTAATCAAATGGATGTTTTTTGTGCAATGAGCATCTTAACATCATTTTTTGTAAAAGCTGAGGAAAAGAATCCATCAATATAAGAAATGATCATTCCTCTTCGGCTTCAAACTAGGTCCCTTTGGGC